TTCCGGTCTAAGTGCACATGTGATGACCAGTTTCTCAACTAGCTTAGGCGGAGACTGATAACGGGTCTAGCAATACCGACCTCTTGCCATCGTGGCAATAAGGTAAGAGTGTCCGTAAGGACTAGCCGACAGGTAACTTTCGATACCCGAAGTCACATTCGCGACACCAACCTATATGCATCTATGGATGGCATTGCACAGGATGCCTAGTATGACTCCCCACGTTGGTGCACCAACTTATACTTAAAGCGTGTTATAGATCACAGGTTAGGAACCTAGTTCCTCTGCACTACCAAGTCTTCTAGCTTGACAAGTCTGTGATCATGCATAGACTCCTCTATGCTCGGCCCCATGGGCCACCCCTTTTGAAGTTAGCACCTTCAACTAGGGGATTTGTTCCCCTGACTCACCAATCTCGCGTAGCAAGTCATCTAGCCACCGTAACATAGTTCATGCATAAGTGTGCAAGTCCTTAACCATTGACTTTTGTTCAAAGCCCTCTCTTTGAACACTCGGGAACTACTTCCCCAACCTTGATAGCCTCGCCTCATAGTCAGCTTTAAGACCACGCTTCTGCTGTGCCACTTTGATTTCGCGCATTCTAGGAACCATTTATATTTGGCTTTCTAGGTACTTATCTACTTAGAATTGTCTTCAAGAACCTTCAAGAAACTTTGTTCCTTAGCTTGCTAAGGCTTCTCCTTTCGCAAGCTTTCCAATTACCATATGGTCTAATATGGACAATTCTATGCTTTAGACTCTTCATAGCCCCACGGTTGCTAGTAACAACATGCTCAAGCGCCCACTTGATTCTCCACTCCCAACTGACATAACCACCCTTGATTATGCTCTTCAATTCCTATGATTTGGTTCTATCCCCTTATTACTTACTTTTGGCCTCACACATTTCCTTCGGTTATTCACCTCCAAACTAGGAGGATAGCTTTGCACTTTCTACCATGCCTTAGCAAGTATTCTTGGGGATGAACTTACCCGATAGCCTAGGGAGTGGTTCCTCAATTTGGGTATGCTCACCTTATAATCCCACATACTAAGATTAACGTTGTTACATATGGGCCTTTATATGCCTATCACTAGCCTTGCCAAAATTCCATTTTTGGCTTTATCTAATTTGGGTAGACGGACTTTTCCCGTTTTTGCAACCTTAGACATTTGGATAGCATCTTCTATTCATTATTCGCTAGGGACTTAGTCCCTTAGGCCTTATCTATTGCCCTTGCGACATCAAACACCACCTCCTAGTGTTCTAGAGTGTTTAGGTGTCCCAATGATGGCCTCTTTGACAATGAGCATTCCCTTTTACAACATTGACTTACTATTTTACAACATAAGCAGTTTCTCCCCCGTAAGGGTATATCTAACTTCCTTATCCCCATAAGAAGTCTTAGGTAGTTCCCTTCTACCAATTTAACCAATTATTTTGCATGAGCCTACCTTTATAACACTTCTTACTTGTGTCTAGGTCTTTGCCAAAGACCAATACGGTTATTTCTTATGCCAACTATCAGTTAGCACTGCACCATAGTGTTCACACACAACTTTATGCCGAAGTTGTTTTCTTTTGGGGAATACCTTTCCCACGACTTTAGCATAGCACATTCTGCCTTCGATGAGATACCCTTTGTTCTCATACTTAGATCCTATGATCCCCCCCATCCTTCATGGGGTACAACACACCTCAGTCCAAATGCTTCCATCACTCCTTTATGATTATTCCTTGACTCTATTTGAGTCATCCAGCTTTTTGGACTTTATCATCCGACGACCCATGAGGTCCTACCTTTGAGGTGCCCACTCACTGGAATACAACTTCTTGTATTCAGGTCCTACTCACAAGGACCATCTTTGCAAGTGTTACTTTAACACTTGATTTGTTCTCTTGGGGTAACCTTTTATCCCTTAGAACCACTTGTCCATGTGATGAGAATACCAACTCATCCTCTAAGTACACCCCCAACTCCTTGGGTTGTTCCAGCATTTATTAGAGGTAGCCCCAGCTACCATTTCAAGGACTTGTGTCCTCTTCTATATTTGACTGCCCACAGTCATCAATTTTGGTCTCAAATTTATGAGCACCAGCCCCAACTATATAAGGGTAATCTTGTGACTCATTTATTGTTTTGGAGTTTGCATCTTTCCCATGATCTTAACTGTAGTTGTTTACCACAACTACATCAACCAATTTGCTAAGTCAAACACTCATCTGGATCACATCCTCAACTCTCTGAGGAAACCCTTATACTATTCCCAAGATCCCAAAGTCATTCCCTTACTGGCTCTTTTCTGTCCACCACATCACGCCCAAGTTCACACATGAACTTGAGTGGAGAGCCATGTCCTCTCGACATGCTGCTCCTTAAGGATAGGCCCACTCCTAGGACCTTCCGATGCCAATATCAATGGTGATATACTTGAGCTTCAATAAATGTCAGACTAAGGAACGGCTCCAATACCAAGTTGTAAGTGACTAATTTTTCCATTTTACTTTAGTCACTTAACTACACCTCCGACCACTTGGAGGAGTCTCATTCACAACCTTCATAAATCCTATTCAAAACTTGGGGCTTGCTAGCCCTGAGAATGGCATCCATGCCACTCAACCTTTGCACTTGGTCCAAGTGCTCCACGTGTCCAATCCCATGATCGACACCCCAAGGTACCACCGACATATGAGCCCGTTACGCTAGGCCACACTCATTCACCTTGGTCACATTGGTGGTCTAACACCACCTGCATTGCAATCCCATCTCTCCAAGACTGGGTCATTCGCCCATGAGTGGTCATCCTAGATCCACTCCTTAGCATCCTTAGGATGCCTACAGACATGAGGAATAACCTTCCCCAATATCTCTATTCCAGTCTCCACTAAGTCCCTTTTTGTCCTTGGCCATGTTCGCCAACACTGCCACTGGATCAAGGCCCACGGGCCTGACCACTAAGTCCCATTGTCCTGTAGGACTTCTTCACTGTGTGACTGTGTCCTTGGTCACCACACCAGAGGGCTACTCCTCTTCTTTTCCATAAACTGAGACTTTGGGACAACATTTCGGAACATCGTGGCCTTACGCGGGCCTCATGGGTACTCTCCCCACCTTCCGCCTTTAGGTGCTCTAGCCATGGGTTTAGAGCGAGGTTCCATTGAGCCACGCCAAATATCCAAGTAGGTAGTGCCACCCACACTTGAAGTGCGAGCATCAGCCAGTCGATCTCCCGGGGGAACTAAAGCCGGCTCTTGAACACTTCACCAAGCTACCCCGCTTGCCGGTCCATATTCACTCTAGTCTTGGACTTCCTAGTGGTTATCCCTTCACCCAACACCTGGGTGCAGCCTTCCTAGTCCAAACTAGCCTTTCCTAGCCAAACTGGCTCCACTGGAGTCCTCCCCCTTACTATACTTTTGGAGCTCACCAAACCCCTTAGGGTCTGGGAGACGAACGCTTTGGGCTTTCACCCTCTCAGAGTCGGACTCGGACTCGGCCTTGGGCTCGGTCTCGGCCTCAGCCTTGGTCCCGGTCTCGGTCTCGGTCCCGGTCTCGGTCTCGGTCTCAGTCCCGGTCTCAGTCTCGGTCCCGGTCTCGGTCTCGGTCCCGATCTCGATCTCGGTCTCGACTTCGGACTCCATCTCGGGTCCTTCTCGGACTCCATCTCGGGTCCTTTTCGGACTCCATCTCGGACTCCATCTCAGGTCCATCTCAGACTCCATATTGGACTCCATCTCGAGTCCATCTTGGACTCCATCTCGGTCCATCTCGGACTCCATCTTGGTCCCACTTCATGCTCGTTCCTTGAGCACTCCGTTGGGAGTTCCACTCCCGCTCTCGACCTTTCAAGTCGGAGCTTTCAGTCCAAATGTGTTACGTTTGTTTCACTTCAGCCACTACCACGTGGCACTCTTTCGGCTCCTCTTTGGGGCCTAGGGATTTTGTGTCTTACACCTTCATTAGAACATGACTATTTCTCATAGGAAGTGGAGCTGAATGACATACAGCGAGAAGTGGAAGAGGTGATATCTCATAATATTATGTCAAGCAAAGAGCATCATCAAGGGTGGTTGGAGCAAGTGCATGCACAAGTCCTACAAAATCTTGACGAAGTTTTGGCCACAACATTCCCAACTTGATCCACTCTAATATATTAGACTCCACATGAAGCAAAAGACTTTGAAAAAAAAATGCCAAATTGCATCATAGATTTAAATAGCTTTTGACAAAGATGATGCAATTGTTGAAAGGCATTATCACAATCATCGGCATATCCAAATACACATTTGAAGACTTCCAAGAGAATGCTCCAATCATCAAGTAGCTATGCTCAAACTATTATACTATTACAATGCCATCCCTTGAAGACATATGAGAAATTCACACAAACTCTGAACATCATCCCAAGAATGATATATGGCAATTATTATGAAGTGATCGAACTAATGGTACATATCATCTCTAGGATTTTTATAGAAGAACTTTAGCCGAACTTGAGGATTGGTAGCAAGGGTAGAAAAAGTTGTACCACACACCATGAATGTCACCATCAATTAAGTTTAATTGTTCAATTATAACAACATAGCATCCAATAATTGCACCAATTGCTACTCTATAGTTAAAGGAGGAAGAGGTTGCTATCTATTCTATGCTAATGAAAAGGAATAAAATAAAATAAAAGAAATTGAAAAAAGCTATAAGGAAAGGGAGATTTAGATTTTGCAAAAACTAGATCTAAAGCATAATTCTAAATCCAAGCACTCCTTAAGGATAATTAAAGTTATTTCTCATCTCCACCCATGGGAGTGCAGGGAATATAAAAATGGAATAAAAATATACATATTAATTAGCCCAAAAACCCTAATTTATATATAAAAGCAAGTGGTCCAAATTAAAATTAATTTGACGGCTACCAAAATTCTACTATGCTAATATTAATATATAGCATCATAATTGTACACCTCACAATTTGATATAAAATATTACATTAAAAGAATATTTTCTACATAATTGATGATAGTCACAATATGCATTTTGACCTTTTGTGTTTGTCAAGAGTGCCTCACTCCCAACGTTCTCTTGCGCCCTTGGAACGCCACCAGGGCATTCTTGTACTCCTCCTCTCCAAAATCCGGCCAGAGCTTCTTCTCAAACACGAGCTCTGAGTAGGCGAGATGCCACAGCATGAAATTGCTCAGCCGCTGCTCGCCGCTGGTGCGAACGAGCAGCTCCGGCGCGCCAACATCCTCGCACCGCTCGCCTAGCATCAATCTCCTTGACAGGTTGATCTGATCGATGTCCTGCACAGCCAGTTTCCCCTGCTGCACCTCGCGTGCCAGCGCCTTGCACGCCTGGACCAGATCACTGTGCCCGCCATAGCCAATCGCCATGACGAATTTCATCCCCGTGTTGCCGCTGGTGATGCATTGCGCTTCCGAGATCTTGTCCTGGAGGGTGCGCGGGAGCCTTGCAGTGTCGCCAATGCAGTGGAATTGGATCCCATCCCTGACCAGAAATCCACACGAGTCAATCCAATTCATTCGGACCAGCAAAGCTATAGAAACGCCACTCACAGCAGCATGGTGGCAGGGTCATCGAGGCTGAGAACTCTTTCAAATTGCTGCATCCACTGATCCACCTCCTCCCTGGGCCGCAAGAAATTCTCGGTGGAGAAGGCAAAGAGCGTGAGCGCCTTGATCCCCCAGTCGCTGGACAACCTCACGATCTCCCGGGCGTTGGAGTAGCACGCCTCCGCCGCGGCTCGCAGCTGGAACTCCTTGGCGATCCCCCGCGCCTTTGCCCACCGCGAATTTCCGTCCATGATCATCGCAACGTGGTTGGGGAGCCGCAAAGGATCCACCCCCGCGGGCAAACGCGTCGTCGTCGTCGTCGCAAGGCGGGAAGGGCAGGGAGCGGCAATGCTGGCCATGAAAGAAGAGTTAGATTCGAGAAAGACTGTGTGATTCGCTCCAGAGGGACAGGACTACACGTATAAATACTCGCAGAAACAAGTTGTTGAATGCCACCTTTGACCACAACATTTAAAAGACGCCAAGCAAACAGGGAACACTAAAACACGTAATACACGATTGCGAGGCACCCACGCCGCAATAGAAACACATGTGTCGCAGAAAAAACTGTTCGATATGTCGACTACTATAGAAAACCGCAAATTACTTTTCTCATGTGAACCGAACTGATGCTTACCAGAAGAAGGGAAACTCGTTTCAAGCATTGGAATTCACCACGTCGTCGTCCGGCTTGTAAAACCTCTCGTCTCTCTTCGGCGTCTATAATCGCCTTTCGCTGCTTCTAAGATTTCTGCCAACCACAGCCTGCTGGTTCGTGATAAATCCACGAAGTTTTGTTCCTTTGGGTAATTTTTTCTTACGCTTATTACTAAAGCTTGCTTATTCATCCAGTGGGAACAATACGCTCTCAGCCACAGTGTCGACTTGCTTACCCTTGATTCTCACCCACGTCTCGGTGACCTTGTCCACCCTGTTGTCGTCGGCCAGTGTCACCACCGTGAACGCCCTCTCGGAGCTCTTGCTTCGCTCCCGCGGTACCACTGCGCCGTTCACGTACACGGTTCCATTGCTTCCAACCGCGGTCATTTTTCGCTCGCCTCCGCACAGCAACTCCTTGTGCATGTGGCCGAACACCACCAGTGGTATCTCGCATTTGCCTTCGCACGACTTGAGTGCTTCTTCCAGATCTATAAACACAAAATCCAGAGCAAAAACAAGTCATTCGCTAGCGATTGAGTGTAACACGATGGAGCTTCATACCGGGATCGCCATGGTCGCCAGCGCCGGGGTCGAAATCTCGTCCGCAGATATCGTCGGGACTTGATCCCAGCCCTGCCAGAAGAAAGCTTGTGGAGAAGAAAACAGAGAAATAAAAGCTTACCAGTGGGTCCATTATGGCCGAGCACAATGATCGCATGCTCTTTTGGAGCACCGAGAGCAAGCTCCGAGATCTTTGTTGCGCTTTCCTCGAGACTATGGATACCGTACCTGCATTCAGAAAGAAAGAAAGAAAACAAAATGTAAAGATGAATCCTTACTTAGGCACCAAAAGAAATGAAAAGAATGGATTGGCAAGCCTTACATCTCCTTGCAGTATGGAAACCCGAAGAACGCTTTGCGAGGACCTCCCATGGAAAAAGGCCGCGAGCCAACGACTGAGATTTTCAGCCCAGGAAATTCCAGACGCTTGAATCCGACATGGCTCTCCCCGAGGCTGCAAAGCAAAGACTTTAGAGACTTGAAAGGAGAAGAAAAAGAAAACCATCACTTACAGTCTGTGCTGTTGGAGCACTGCGCTGGAAGTTTTAGAGGCATATCTTCCACTGTACCAGCAGTCATGGTTTCCCAAGATCACAGCCTTTGCCATGTCCAACTTCGACACCTCCTCCACCAATTCCACGTCCTCATTTCCAAAATCTCCTGCTTAGTCGGAAGGAATGAGTGATCGCCCCAAGAAGCATAATTTCTACCGGTGAAGAGGACGAGATCCGGCTAAAAAGAAAGTGTCAGAGCCGGAAAATCCCGGAAAATCAAAACCCCGAGACTCACATTGATGTGCCGCAATGCTTGCTCGTCCACGCTCGAATTCCAGCTCCCATGCTAAGCGATCGATCCATCGGAAAAGAATAAAGATATTTCGATCGAGCTGCTTACCACGTCGCCGACGACCGCGATGACGCGCCCTCCCCCCATCGCTAAAACCCTAGAACACGGCAACATTGCAAGACGAATCAAAAGAATAACCGAAATACCGTACTTTACACGTGTGAGATTCTTACGCGCAAGAAATATTCCACAGAACGTGTACACGTGTCAATCTGAAACATTGACACGCGTCATTTTTCCACGTCACACTGCCAAGTGGACGAGCCATGGAATATTCCTCCTTCCTCTACCTGGAGCTAAAGAAACTACTACCAGAGGCTATGGCTGCTCCCGAGATTTTGGTCCTTGAAGCCGTCGTGCTGCGCAAACATCTCGCCGGCGTCACTAGCCATGGGCGCGGGCGTCGCGTCGCACGGCGGTATGAAGCACTCGGCCGAGAGACCCGCCACATTGTAGGCCGCCTCGTCGATCCACCACGACTCCTCCACCCGGCTGCGTGTGTGGCACATGGACTCCTCCCCGAATCGAAACACGCTCACCACCGTGCTGCCGGCGTGCGGTACCACCGGCGCCCCTTCCTCCACCGCGCGGTACTCCCCAAGCCGCGTCTCCACCGTCACCTCCCAGTAGGACACCGCGCCGCGCGCCGCCTGGATCCTCGTCAGCTGCGAGTCCTCCATCCTCACCAGCAATCCTGACCGCTGGCTGAAGTAGCCGAACGCCACGTGGCGTATCACCTCCTCCTCGACCTCGGGGTCCGCGGGGTCGGCCCCGGCCCCGTGACGCGCGGCGGAGGCGTCTGCCGGAGGTACCGCGCGGTATCCGGCGGTAAGCGCATAAGAGTCCGCCGCCAGCTTGAGCACGAAGCAGTCCTCGCCGTCCGTGCGCTTCTCGCCCACACACCGCGCGTTGAGGAACATGGAGGCGAGCGTCTTGTGGTCGAGGCCGTGCAGCGCGCGGCGCAGCGGCCGGATTGGCCCGCGGACCGACTGCGATCCCGCCAGGGGGCTCTGCTTCCACACCGTCTTGGCGTCGCAGCCCGCGCGGACCTTGGTACCGCCCACCGACAGCTCCACGTACCATCTGTCCGGGAACATCTGCCAGAGGACGAAGCTGCCGGACTCGCAGAGCTCCCTCCCGGGCCGGATGATGCTGCTGGCGGTGGCGGAAGCGGCGGTGGCGATACCGCTGGTGGTGGTGGAGGTGGTGGTGGTGGGCATTTGCGCGCCGCCGGCGGTGGACTCGAATTCCGTGAGCACCATCTTTAGTCTCCCCGAGGCGTACGAGTTGTGGATGGACGTGTGGAGCTTTGCTCCCCCCGTGGCGGCAATGTACTGCTGGACGATGTACTGGGCGCTGCTCGTTTCCTGGCAAAAAGATCGAGCATTGGATGAGAGATCGAACCTCGAGAGATCAAATCCAAGAACACGCGAGCGCAAGAACCAAAGATCGAGCGAATTCACCGAGAATCCACTCCTAAGAAAAGACCAATTTCCGCGGCAAACAGAGCACTCGATCAAAGCAATTCCAGCGCAAGAAGAGGAACCCACTTGGAATTCCGCGACACGATCGGACCCTCGAGCTCGGATCACTCAAAGAATCGCGAGAGAGAATGGATTCAGAACTTACAATTGGGCTGTCTTTGGGGCTGACGGTGGGAGGAATCTTTCCAACCGGGAAAGGGCCGAGAGAAATTCCCAGCGTCGCCAGCAGCTGCCTGGCTCTGAAGCGCTTGCTGCATTGAGCGATTCCGCCGCTGCCGCGGAGGCCGAGGTGTTGCAAGTGATTTTCCAGCTGTTCTTTCACCCATCCCTTGACGCCGTTGCTGTTCTTGGCCGCGAATTTGTCCGGGAATTCGAGCAGCGGCGGCAGCGCCTCGCCCAGCATTGCCACGGCCGGCGACTCGGAGCGTTTCCTAAACACCATCTCCTTCCCCCTCGATCGGTTCCTAGCTGAGATACTCCCGCGTCGCCATCTTTGCCTTGATCAATCCCTCCCCGAAAGAAACGCTTGATCCTTTCAAGAGCGAGGGTTCTCTCGATCTTGCGCGTGAATCAAGCAAAGCAAAGAACAACAGTAGTGGTCTCCACAAGGCAAGAAGCTACTCTTTCTTGCTCGAAACTTTTCCAGAAACTCTCAGCAAGCATGGAGAAGCAACTTAGATCCAAAATCGATAGAAGGGCGAAGCGAGCAAGCTTTCGTTCTCTTTCTTTTGATACCACCGACAGCTCCAGACGCAGCACACACACAGACACACGATCTCCGTCTCTGGAAAACTCTAAACCCTATTCACTTCCACCTTTAAAATACCACCTTTTACTTTCTTTCTTTCCCATTTAACTATTTTCGCAAAGGTGGCGTACCATTTCTTTTGGCAAAAGTTGGCGGTTTCCAATGCGGCGGTGGGTGGCTGATTGCCATTCATACAATTCTGACTATAGGAGACCTTCCGTACAATGGAATGAAAAACCTTGGGAGAAATGACCAGCATATGGCTAGGCTTGAAAATATTTGCCAGGACAAAATGGCTCTCGATTGCGATTGGAACTTTCGGTTTGAATGCGTCAGTACACTGTAAACATTATAAAATATTTCTTCACACGTGGTTTTGTTTTGTTTTTTTTTTCTCAGGAAATCACGAGCTGGGCGGAAGGAGGCTTTCGGCTGCTGTCGAGATCACAGTCGCGGCCAAAAACTAGGAAAAGAGAGCTTCTGTTAAAACTTCGCAGTTTACACCTTTGATTCGGCAACTGCCGTGTGCGTGTGACGTCCAAACTTCCCTTTAATTACTGGAATAGAGACCCCGTCCCCTTGAAAAATATATGGCCCAGAAAACTGAAAACTCCACGCACCATGATGCCTCGTTCTCGTCCCCCAAAGACGTGCCTCGCAGCAACCCCGCACGTCATGCCCTAGAAACACCTTCGTCACCTTTCACATAACAATGCATATTCTAACGTTTCCACCACCTTTTGGTAAGGCTTAGTCTCTTTCACTGTCGTATGCTTGCATGTGCACGACCACTAGCCCATATAGAGTGTGTAAGACGCAATGTCTGCATCACGACGAATATCCACCGAATTTTAGTTACATTTGTTTTTTATTCCATCCATCAAAACTAGCCACAGTATGGCAAATCATCTCCCCACGCTACGCCGATCATCCACAGTGGGGATCTTTTTCTCTCCTCGGCCAAAATCTCGCTATGAAACCACCACGCCAGAGATCATGCCTGTGTGACGATGTGATTACTTTGGCACGTTGTAACACTCCATAGCATTTCCCTCATGCGCGCCTGTGGAAATCTTTCCTTTCCTTGCCGGCTCGTCTCACGCGAGAAAATCGCTTGATCGCGATAAGCCCCCAGATATCTGAAAAGGAAGCGAAGTCAAACAAGCCATAAAAACTCCGCCGGAGCTGTCCGTCACGTCCTAGTCTTGCAGTAAAAGAAGAGAGAGCGAGCGGCCACAGTGCAACTCAAGAAAAAAGAGGGAAAAGCCGATAGCTTTGAGGAGAGATCCACTGGGAAAACAACACAAGCCCACATTTAAGCAAGAACTATAGAAAGAAATGTAAAGAAAGAACGAACCATGGACAGAGAGCGAAAGCTAGCTGGAAAGGAGAAAATTGTCCTTGGTTCGTTGTAGTTTAAGTGATGAAAAGAAGGAGATTGCCAGTGTCTGTCCCAAGCCAGCAAGAGAATTCCGCAACTTATAAACGTGAGGGGAAAGTACTTCGTATGTGTAAATAGGATGAAACATGTATTTGATCTGCGTACAACAACAACACGGCTGCCTGTGTTAAAATACCAACGTACCTTTGGACTGATAGCCTGGTCGCTCAGAACAATCCAAAGCAGTCGTAATGGCATCGCCCTCAAAATCCCTTGGATGCCTCAAGGTACTTTATTTCCCCATTTGAGTGTGGGAGAGGTGGGTCCAAACTTTCGAAGCCAAGTACTGCGTCCGTGAACGCCATCTGCACGGGCGAAAAGTTTTAAGAGTGAAGAAACTTTAAGTTTGAGGTTTTGCCATTCAATAATACCTCGAGGTCATGCTCCGCGAGCCTCAGCTTCTCCTTGCAGTTCCTCACATCTGCAAACGCTTGTTTCATCTGCGTAGAAAGAAAATAAAAAACACTAAACACTTGAGCTGATTTCTTACCTGTCTGAGGTAGTCAAGATGGCTGTTGAACATCGACGTAACATTTGCCAGAGACTGCTCCAGACCCTGCTTGCGAGACAAAGATTGTGTTACTATCTCATCTTGCCTCCCTTGGTGAAAAGTTTACCTTGTTCTTGTTCAGCATCTCTTCACTTGTTTTGTTCGCACGGTTGAGGTCGCTTTGCAAAGTCGCCACCTGACACAAACGAAAGAAAACGCACGGTTGCAGCTGTTCAACACCGAGGATGCACGCCCACCTGTTCCCGCCGATCTCGTTGCAATTCAAGAGCTTTTGCAAGCTCCTCTTTCACCTGCTATGAGTGCAAGAACTGAGTACGATGGACATGGATGAAAACACGGCTAACCTTGCTATTATCGCCGTTATGTTCCTTGGAGGTTTTTGTTTTCTCAGCTTTGGTGCTGTCGTAGCTGAAAAGAGCAAAATAGAACTTCCGATTAAATTATTTTCTCCATTGAATTCAGCTTCTTACCGATCGTAGCTTGAAACTGGAGACGGACTCACGGACCGGCTTGTATCTGAATCGAAAAAAGTTAGCTAACTTAAAATGCAGCCATCGAGAACAACCGTCTCGCGGAGACCGATATCTACGATAATAAGGAGAGCGGTCACGACGTCTTCGCTTTGGAGAATAGCGCCTGCGATGACAATCGCCATTAGAGACTTTTCATAGAAAAGAAAAGAACAGAAAAAGAAAAAAAAAGAAAATCAATCTCACCCGTATCTGTCCCGCCTGTCTTCTCTATCCCTCCGGCTATCCCTGTCTCTGTACGAGTACGAGTCACGGCCACCCCGGTTCTTCACTTCGTTCACTCTGATGGACCGTCCAGCAACAACCTGAATCATGGAATATATACTTCACACAGAAACAAGAAAAATAAAATAAAATACGGATACCTTTCCATTCATTCCGTAGATGGCACCATTAGCAGCCTCCGAAGTGGCAAAAGTGATAAATCCATAGCCCCGGGACTGCCCATCGTGGTCTTGAATAATCTGGAAAAGAAAGACGCAAAGAAATAAACAGAAAAGAACTCGGCCAACTCACCAGAGGGACTTAGTAAATCAAAAACATAACAGATTCTGCTAACAAAAATGCCTAGAAGTGCCATGGATACACTCAAGGAAGGAAAGAAAACCCAGTACGAAAAGCCCAATATAAAAGCCTGAAACTTTCGAAGGACTTGGCAAGTTCGATCGAAAAGATATCTTCGTTGCATAGAAATTCGAACAAAAAAACGGCGCCGGGAGAAAAAAATTCCAAAATAAGTGCCACAACTGCGTTCCATCCATAAACATATGAAGCGAGAAAAGAAAGAACCTCCAAACGCCGTGAAAAACAAGCTAAGAAGCAACGGAACAGGCAGGAGACAAGAAAAGAAAAACCAAAGAATGCTCGAAGCGGAGAAAGAGAGAGGAGCTCGATCGAAAAAACCCACCTTGACTTTGTCGATTTCTCCAAACTCCTCGAACGTGGAGCGAATCAAGTCCTCCGTGACATCGTATGCCAAGCCGCCAACATAGACAGAGGTCTGATCGCTCACAGTCATCGCTGCGAATGCACCTCGCTCTTGCAAGCGCCGATTATCGACAGCAGAAGAACAATGCCGAGCTCCGGAAGCACCGAATCGTCCTATCGCCGGCAGTGCCTTAGCTTGCTCGGCGCCATACCCAGAGAGAGCACTACAAACCCTAATCTTGGAGCTTTGGAAGCAAGTCTTCACTATAAAGGGAAAGATTAAGGGATAACCGCACTGAAGTTTATACACAGCTGACCAAAAAAGAAGAAGAATGAGAAAAGCTTAGAAGAGGACTCTAGTTGGAGAGAATTTCGAGCTCCGCCCAAAGGAGTGGTGAGCATTTTGGTTGCGCCGCCTCGGGGGAGATGTTTAATCCTTTGGAGAGTATCGACGCCACCGTCTTCATTGTCGGCCTTTTGCTCGAGTCGGGATGAATGCACAGCCGGATCACATCGCAGACAACCAGCAGCTGCTTTAGATCGAAGGATTTGAGCGACGAATCCACGATGTAGCCGAGAGTCTCAGGAGAACTCAAGAACTCTAGAGCCTGCAAGCAAGAGGTTAGAAGATCTTCATAGCAAGGAAGCGAGAAACTAAGAAATGAAGAGAGAAAACTAAACTAAGATAGATCGAGAGGCTAGCCAGGAAAGAGAGAAACTAGAAAGTAAGAAGAGAGAAAACTAGACTACTAGATCAAGAGGTTAGATCTTCATAGCAAGGAGAGAACTAGAAAATGAGAAGAGAGAAAACTAGACTATGCTAGATCGAGAGAAAAGAAGAGAAAGAAAGAAATGATTTCAGAGAGAACGTTAGATCGAGAGAGAAAATGAGGAGAGAAAACTAACTATGCCAGATCGAGAGAGAGAGAAAGAGAGAATTAAAGAGTTTCTTACCCATTCCATGAGAGAGAGAGAGAGAGAGAAAATTAAAGAGTTTCTTACCCATTCCATGAGAGAGAGAGAGAGAGAGAATTAAAGAGTTTCTTACCCATTCCATGAGAGAGCCCTCCTTCTCGGAGTAGGGTAGCCGTCCGGTCACTACCTCCAGCAGGAACATGCCAAAGCTTAAAACGTTGCTCTCGAAGTCTGGTGCGTGGCGGTCGGAGCCTTCGAAGTCATCGTATCCGATGCTGTTGCTAAAAGATTTCCTTCGGTCACTTTTGATCACAGCGAGCTTGGAGATTCCAAAGTCGGCCAGCTGCATCGAAAGAACGAATCACTACATGACAAGCGCAAAAGAGGAAATAGAGACAATTCGTACCTTTGCAGCGTAGTCCTCCGTGAGATAAATTGCAAAAGAATCGAAGTTTGAGTGGCTAGCAGGCGGCACAAGTTCGTGGTGCATGTACTCCAGCCCGTATGCCGCTCCCATCACGATCCTCATTCGCGTCGTCCAATCCAGATGATCCGAGTCCACATCTGGATATGTGTCGTTAGCTACTGAAATAAACCAATAGAAAAACTTTGCTTACTGTGAAGATGTTCGGACAAAGTTCCGTTTGGAACATACTCAAACAAAAGCATCCGTGCGAAAGGTTCTTCCTCGGCACAGTATCCCAGCAAGTTCACCAAATGCGTGTGCTTCATACGCGCAAGTGCCTCGATCTGCAAGCAAACATGACGACATTAGTACAATATACAGTGATGACGAGATGTCAGGTGCACCTTACGACGAAAAAATATTTCGGAGCTTGCTGTCCAGCTTGCTGCTGAGATTCTAATACTCGTGACGGCCACTTCTGTTCCGTTTGAAAGTGTTCCTTTGAAAACAACAGTATCCGGAGACGACCCAATTATGTTGCTGAAGTCTTCGCATGCTGCCTGGAGCTCTGCCCAAGTTAGAGACGGGACATCTGTAAACAAAGAAAACGACGGTGTTAGATAGAAATCACACTGCAAACGCCACTAACCCGTTACAAAGACCTTCTGTAGATGTCCACTCATACCAGCCTTCCATGGGCTGACCGCTACAGTTTTCCGTTTGTAGAGAAAAACACCTACCATAAGAAAGACGAACACAACAGCTGAAAATACTGATAGTAGCACGGCCAACGTTTGGAAGCCTTTGTGGTGATGACTATAATGACGAAGTTTGACGTGGTGATCGTGGGAGCTGTGAACACCGTTAACTCTCGTTGCGTTGTTCTTCAGCCTGCTTTGCAGAAAGCGATGAGGACGTTCTGCGATGTCATTATGCAAGTGTGACCATCAGCTGTGAAGCTCGTAAGTCTTACCACAAATGTGCTTGCTGATTAGACGTTCTGACAAATGTAGACAGTCCCCTACAGTAGCACTACGCACAACCACAATGATGTTACAGACCAAGTTTTTGCTTACATGCTTACCTTGGAAAACATTCAGTAACAAAAGAATTCTCCGACACATCAAGCGTTTGAAGGCTTTTCAGGTTACAAAAAGCACGTCCTGGAATGAATCCGGTGAAGTGATTATGGTCCAGGCGCAAATGCCTTAGCCTGACTAGCTTCCCAAATTGCGTCGGCAGACTTCCTTGAAAATGGTTTTTCCCAAGATTCCTTCAGATCAAACCCCAAAATGAGCCAAGAACAAATAGTAAGAAGTGAACATCACTTACAGCGTACGCAAGTTCACAAGATTGCCAACGTTTGGAGGAATAGTGCCAGATAGATTATTTCCGCTCAAATCCAAGTGAAACAGTCTCTTCAGAACCCAGAGCTCCTTCGGAATTGATTCAGACAGCTCGTTTCCTCTCAAGTCACTAAAAACGAAACGTTATCTCAGTCATCGTCCAAATTAAAAGATCAAAATCTCACATTTTCTTCAGAAACTCTAGCCTTGATAGCTCGGGGGAAATTTTCCCTTGAAGCGACAAATTCACCAGTTCCCTGTTAGACACACCACTTAGTCCTTGGAAACTCCAGCCTGTCGAGAACACTTACAATTTTATCACCCGGCCATCGGATGAGCAAGTCACGCCTCGCCACTGGCACAAAGAACCATGGTCCGCGCTCCATCCGCTTAGAGCACCCCGAGGATCGCTCGATATGCTCTGCCTGAAGGCCGACAGAGCCGATGCTGCGGCAAGACGCGATCATCGACACCATTGAATCAAAAAATCCACAAACAAACGTACCCTGATTCGCGCTCGTGAGGCAAAATCCACCGTATAAGCTGGACACCAGGACAAAGACAAGGGTGCTCAGCATAATCCACGCTCCATCCCAGATCCTCATGACCCTAACCATGATTTCCTGCGGTAATCGGCATCCTTGGAACCTGCATTCCCTAGATTATCGGCCGGAAACGCCAAGGCTGCGAGATTTCCAGGCGCGCAGGCGCCAGGAATGAAGCATCGACCGATCCAGAGAAAGCCAAGAGAGCCCGCCCCTGCAGCAAAATCCACGCGAGCGCTCTTCAAAGCGCCAGAGGAAAGAAGAGACGCTGCCGCTGCCGCATTGCCCCAGAGCGCGCAGAGCAAGCCATAAAGAAATGAGAGCTCCGAGACGCCATAGCTGCGCTTTCCAGGGCTCCGTCAGAAAGAGGGGAAAGCCTTTCCCTCTCAAAATCTTCGCAGCTTCACTGGAAGAGAGACGCGATCGCGGCCGCACATCTCGCCGCGAGCAATCGACGCCTCAGATGCGGGGGGTAATCTATCATTGGACGAAAATCGTGCCACGTCATGGGGCAATGCGTGGTCCGAAAACCATATTGTGTACGACGGGTACGGCAGTTGGGCCATGGTCGTGTCAAGACAGCGACGCGCTGCTCGTCGAATTTGTTTGGTCACTTCAAAGCCAAAAGTTGGCGGAGGAATTCCAATCTTGACCTAGAAAAGGGCTTTCCTTTGAATAGTTACATAGTTTTTGTTGGTGAGCTTGTAAAGATTGCACAGCAGCTACCTACATTGCGTATTCAAGGGGTGAAACGCCAGATCCACCGTCAATCCGCGTAATGACCAATCAATCCGTGCCGTCCCCGGCGGGACTCGTCCACTTTTCACTGAATTGCCATAGCCGCTGGGCCAACTTCATGTCGTTTGCGTACGAAACGCACTCGGCCTTGTTGCAATCCACGAAATACTTTCCGGAGACTCCACTCACCCCCGGATGAGTGGCAACGTAGCACGTAGTCGCGGCCCCCTTCAGCAAGCATAATGCCAATCGTTATTAAAACAATCCAACCAAAAAGTAAAACGCACTAACCAACTTGCCTGTGAGGGGGATTTGCTGAATTCGAATTGCTTGGAGAATATGCTCGAGATAATGTCTGTGTTAGTTCAAGGCGTACGGAATCGTGAGACATGATCATTTTTGTGATCTTACATGAGATGTACTCGGGGGCTATCCGTACGATGTTGGTGTGGATGACTCCTGGATGGACTGCATTTGCTGTGACGTTAGCGCCGCGCTCCTAAACACGCGGCTAAATAATCAAAGCTTAGACATAACCACGGCTTTGGATACCTTGAGCCGCCTCGCCAGCTCTTTTGCATGCAAGATGTTGGCGAGCTTGGAGATTCCATAGCCGAGTGGGTACGTTGTAGAAAAGCTGGCAAAAATCATAGTGAATCCCTCATTTAGAACTATCGCATAGAAAAACTACCTTGCTGGATCGTTTAGCTTATCAAACTCGATGCCATCCCTGGCAATCCTATAGCACTGCGAAGCCACATTAACGATCCGACCCTCCATCCTCGAGTCCCGCGATGTTTCGACCATCTTGTCCAGCAACAGCTTTGTGAGCAAGAAATGCCCTGGAAAAGACAAGACAGAGGAATCAGCACCGGGAATAATTCCGTATATAACATGCATCGTGGTCCTTCCTAGCGCCAGCTAGATACTGCAGGTGTGTATTTATACATATCTATCCATCTCTATCTTTGTTTACCTCCCCCGCGGTAAATGCCGGTTTTCCACTGGCGGTGGTATTGACTTTTTTTACCGTGCGGTGAAAGCCTCACACCTAGGTATCAGCCCAGACCCACGGGTCTTTTGGTCGGAGTGCGCGCGTACTAAATTGTTTGCCTGCTGGAGAAAAGGTGTGGGTGCATAGAATTCTTGTGAGGATCTCCTGCCGTACGCTCGTACGTACGCTCGGGGTGTCACCGTATGATCATGGTGAAACTTCGAAGAGGGAGTGTGTGTGTGCGTCATGCAAACTTAAGACAACTTTTGGGGTGTTTGAGAGGTGTTTACCCAAGTGATTTGTGGCAAATTGGAGTTCGATTCCATCCTCTGACCGCATGAACCTTGGAACCAGGGCTCCTGCATTGTTTCTTCTCGAGCGGATCCGGGATTATAAGTTGGTGTCAAGCAAGAAGAAGATTTGTCAAAGGTGTTTGTGGAAAATCTTAGAGTCTCACATGAGGATGTGGAGCGGGAGGTTGCGAGCGTGGAAATCCTCTGCGGCGCGGCGGACGGAGGCGAGCGAGCTCAAATCGAGCTCCAGGATCTCAATTCGCGCGTCGGGCTTGTTCTCCAGGATGGATTCCTTGACGCTCTCCGCGGCCTTGATGTTGCGCGCCGCGAGTATCACGCGGGCTCCGCGCATGGCCAGAGCTTTGGCTGTCTCCAATCCAATTCCCGACGTAGCACCTGATAGAGATGGATGGAGCAAAGTATTAAACAGACAGATCAATCAATCAACCAAAAAGAATTGGCCAGATATCATATCTTAGAAGTTGCGCGAGAGAAAACAATGGAAACATCTCTTAAGATCACCTGTGACAATGGCTGTCGTGGGCGAGAGATCCAAGCCTTGAGTTATGTCCTCGGCGCTCGTATGGAATCCATAGCCACTTTCGCCATTCCCGCGAAGAACTTGGCTAATGGCAGACCCCATTCTTTCTTACGCGAGGTCCTCCTCTTCCTTTCTACCTTTCAATACCTCCCGATCAATCGATTAGCTTCTATTCCTCGCATCGCTAGTCTGTAAACCAATTGATATCATCCACAGAGGCCACCAGGCAAGCATGGAAGAGAGCCAATCTTTGGCGAAACAATCGATATGCTACGAATACGACGCTGCTGGCACTGCAAACAGGCACAGAGGCGCACAGCATATATATATCGTGTGAGTGTGTCTAGTTTGATACGGCAGAGGATATCCAGGGGAATAGAGTACGGAACAACGTATGGAGACATCTCCACCGTTCTCTTTGGAATATAGTTTGGAGGACAAAGGAACAAAGATGAGGGAGAAAGAAGTACTTTAGCTTTAAAAATTTAGAAATAAGGAAATAAAGAAAAGAAGAAAAGAGAAAAAGTGAGGCTATCTTGATATTTTTTTAGCCTTCAATAGTAACAGCAGACATTCAAGAGTGGCCAACTTGTGTTTGTGCCGCCCTAAGTCTTATAGGATGTCTTGGCCCTGACATGTACTCTATTCAAATGGAGATGCCAAAGCAACTATTTGGAACCAAAAAGATACCTTTAAGACCTGCCCTAAATCTTGGAGTTTAGGGTTCGTATGGACTCCTGGGAATGGCGCAGCACTCGGGATTGATGAAGCGATCGAAAAGGAGGATTGGAATCAGTCGGAGCATGCTGCTGTGCTCGATCTTCGCGGCGGTGTATTTCTTGCTTGATTGGTGGATTCTTTCGAGCTCGGAGGTTCCACTGTCGGCTGGAGTGACTGATTTCGAGTCGCAATCGCGATTTTTCAAGGTAGGCTTTTGTGTAGATCGATCCTCTCCTCCAATGCGATTCCTCTACACTGGCAGGAGAAGAGAAGCAATGTAATGTACGACCGTCTTCTTGCACTGGCGGCTCATTCTCTCGCAGAGGTAGAAGACTTTCCTCCCGACGCTTACATTTTTACTTGCCTCGCAACTTTAGGCCGATTCCAGGAGTGAGCCTCACGATCTCTGGACAGAACCAGCTTCTGCGTGGAAACCTTGCGCTAATGTTCGTAGAGAAAACCACACTCGTAAGTTCCTCTCTTTCTCTCTTTCTCGCTTACTGTTTTCTTTTTCACAGACTAAACAATCGTGTATACAGTGCCGCCGGCACCCGAGAACAGCACGGGATACATTCTAATCAATGCGAACGGTGGTCTCAATCAACAGCGTGTTGCAGTAGGCTTGGTTTCATTCTTCCAACGTCAACTCTCTAAACATCTTTTTTGTACTCAGATATGCAATGCGGTTGCCATCTCGCGTCTCTTAAATGCTACGCTGGTGCTTCCGAGCTTTATGCTGAGCAACGTCTGGCAGGATGAAAGGTAACTGGGAAATCCTTTCTGTTGTAGTGTCACCTCGCTGAGTGTTTTCTGTTTCTTGTTTCTTTCAGTCAGTTTGGAGACATTTATCAGGAGGAGTACTTCGTTAATTATCTGAGAGAAGACGTGTACATAGTCAAGAGCCTACCGATCGAAATGCAGTCCCTGGATTTGCAAGCAATTGGCAGCTTTGTAAGCACTGCATTCTCTTTGTAAGTACATCTGCATCTCACAGGTTTATAGAGTTGTTGCATTATAGAGTTTCTTCCGGTTTGTGTTCATCTAACTTTGCCTCAACACAGTTATCGGAATTAGACGTGATGAAGGAGTCCAAGCCAGGTTTTTACATTCAGCGAGTCCTACCGATTCTACTGAGGAACCGAGTTGTTTATTTTTCCGGCTTCGGAAATAGATTATCATTCGATCCCATTCCTTTTGAGATACAGGTAAGGCTTTCTTTGCTTCTCTCTCTCTCTCTCTCTCTCTCTCTCTCTCTCTCTGTGTGTTTCGTTTCAGTAGTTCACTCATTTCTTGTATCTAGAGGTTGAGGTGCAGATGCAACTTTCATGCTTTGAGATTTAGGCCAGAAATACAAGCTGCTGGGGACTTGCTGGTACAGAGAATACATCAAAACTTTCCCGGACAAGTTCCATCAGTGACGAGATATCTCGCATTGCATTTAAGGTTCGAGATTGACATGGTTGCCTATTCCATGTGTGACTTTGGTGGAGGAGAACCGGAAAAGCTCGAGCTTCAAGCCTACAGGGACGTTCACTTCCCAATGATGGCGAAGTATCATAATGAAACGTAAGACATATCATAACTCGGCCTTTCCTCTCTGTTCTAAGCGTCCATGGCAGGGAGCTAGCGAGTACTCTGAGAGAGCTGGGCCAGTGTCCCTTGTCTCCCGAGGAAGGAGCTTTAATTCTTGCCGCTCTCGGCTTCAAGCGAGGGACTCGTGTTTTTCTAGCAGGTGCTCAAATCTACGGTGGCCAATCCAGACTGACTCCATTGTCTACTTTATATCCGAACCTGGTGACGAAAGAAGATTTATTGTCCGAGAAGGAACTCTCGCCTTTTGCGAATCATTCATCACAGGTTCGTTTCTTTTGTACTTTTCTTTTCGGAGTGCTCCAGAGTTTTGTTGATCGTCGTGTTTGCTTCCACAGTTAGCCGCTCTAGATTTTATAGCCTGCACAGCAGCGGATGTGTTTGCAATGACGGACTCCGGGAGTCAATTGGCTTCTCTGGTGAGTGGCTATAGAATGTATTTTGGAGGTGGGAGACTGCCGATCATCCGGCCAAACAAGAAGCGCTTGGTGAGTCTTTTCGCGAAGAACTCGTCGATCCAGTGGGGAGAATTTCGGGAGAGAGTGAGGAAGACAATCCGAGAGAACAGAAAGGTCCACACGAGACCAACAGCGAGAAGCGTTTACAGGCACCCGCGCTGTGAAGATTGTATGTGCCAAGCGAAAGAGTAAAATTTTAAACCCGAAGTATATTTTGGAATCAGGATATTCTTTGTTTGAATGGAGTATATGCTTCGTTTTTTAGCCGGGGATTGCTTGTTGTGTTCTAGGGTTCTTGGCGATGGATTGCGAGACCTTCTCGTGTCCACCGCCTCCGATTCGATGTCTGCCAGCGCCAGAATTCTACTTTCCGGACATCTCGCCGCCGAAAGAAGAAGAATCATGGGGGGAGAAATGCATGAACATTCTCGACGGGAAAACGTCTCCTCCGCCTTCTCCTCCTCCATCTCCCCGTCCTCCTCCTCCTCCTCCTCCTCCTTCTCCACCTCATTCGGAGTACTCCGATCTCCCGAGGAGCATGGATTTCGAGGGCAGCGAGTGTTTCCAGCCGTCGCCAGAGGCTTTCAGGAGGCCGGGACGCGATATTTCGATCAGGCGCGTCGAGGATTTCGATCAGGATGAGAAAGCCCCTTGCTATCGATGCATCGGGAGGCTGGCTGAGGCGAGGAGAATCCACGCGCGCGTTCCAGCGGTGGTGGCGCCGCCGAAGACAGCAGAGAAGTCGCCGATGATCGAGTCCTGCCCCAATGCGCGATCGATGTACCGCGAGGAAGCCTGGGGGATGGAGCGATGGCTCCACGTCCAGCGGTGGGCGGCAATGGCGACCAAGGCTCAGCGGAATGTGTTCGAGCTGTCGAGTCTTCTTGGCGACGCGCTGGAGGCAATGGATATGTTCGTGGAGAAAGGCGCGCGCGCGGACGAGAGGTACCAGAGGCAGCGCTGCCGCTACTACGCGACCTGACGAGCGAGAACGATCGATCGATCGAGTTGTTCTTTTCGATGTACGTTTTTGCTTGCGATCTTAATGAAATTTAGTTCCTTTCTTCCTTCCAGGCCTAGGGTTTATCCGGAGGCGATGGGGAACGCCGATCTTCCGACGGTAATGTGGCCGCATTTGGATTTCTTGGGAGATTCATCGCGTTTTCTTAGGGCGTTGGATGATCGCGCTGCCTAAGCCGGCAGATTTCTTTGGTAAGAATCGTGCATTAGCTCGATCTTAGGGTCGATTCATCTAGAAGCGTGTCAGTCAGTGGATTTCTCCGTGCAATACATTGGAGGAATGGCTCTATCTTTAGCTGACGCTAGAGTTCCAGCTTGGGATGTGCGAGCCGGAGTCGCGCCCAGCAAGAAGAATGCGGCTGTCAAGCGAGAATTTAAGTCGAATTTCTTTCAGTCATCTGCTGTGGCGGTAAGATTTTTCTTCGTTTCTTCTGCCTCTCAGTGTAGAGTGGTGCAGAAAGTAGCAACGATTGCTCCAAGAAAACTTCGGCGGAGAGCACTAGTGATCAGTAACAGTTCTTCGACGTCCGTCAAGCTATCAGCGAATGATCTCGAAGAAGCCAAATTGGCGGTGAAGGAGCTCGTCCAGAATACGTATAGTAATCCAATCCTGGTAAAGTTTCTTCGAGAAATTTCATTGTCACCTTCTTTGGTTTCGTTTGTAGATTCGCTTGGGGTGGCATGACGCAGGAACTTATAACAAAGATATCAAAGAGTGGCCAAAATGCGGTGGCGCAAATGGGAGTGTACGATTTACGAAGGAGATGGGTCACGCTGCCAATGCCGGTACTGCCTTGTTCATTTCAACTTACTTTTGAACTGGGTGAATGTATTGTCAGGCCTCCAAGGCGCACTGAAACTTCTGGATCCTATCAAAGATAAATTCCCTGCGATAAGCTATGCAGATTTGTTCCAACTTGCGAGCGTCACTGCGATAGAGGTAACCCCCGTTTATGAAACATGCTGTTATTCAAGTTATTGCAGCTAGCGGGAGGTCCTAAAATACCGATGCGATACGGAAGAGTGGATACGACTACTCCAGAAGAATGTCCGGAAGAAGGAATGCTTCCTGGTTCGTAAAATTCTTTCTAACAACTGTGCGTTTTTACATTTGATCTTTTTCTTTAGATGCTGGAGCTCCAAGTCCTGCCGAACATCTTCGGAAGGTATTTTACAGAATGGGGTTTAACGACAAGGTACATAGATCATAGATAGAGAACTTTAGTTGTTTACATGTTGAACAGGAAATTGTTGCTTTATCGGGTGCTCACACACTCGGCAGGGCTCGGCCGAATAGAAGTGGATGGGGCAAAGATGAAACCAAATATACAGTAATGTAGCATCTACGACGTGTTCTTACTAAACAGTGAATCATTTTATGCAGAAAGATGGTCCAGGACTACCTGGCGGGCAGTCATGGACCGTACATTGGCTGAAGTTTGACAACTCCTATTTCAGGGTATGCCTTTACCTTGGTTTTTAATACTCTGATCACAATAATCCTCTCGGAGGTGTAGGAAGTAAAAGAGAAACGAGATGCAGAATTACTTGTACTGCCAACGGATGCGGCTCTCTTTGAGGATCCCAGCTTTAAGGTGCGGAATGTGCTTCGCAGTTCAGTTTCTACTTCATGAAAACGGTCTGAGTTTATAAAGTTGGACGCAGGTGTATGCTGAAAAGTATGCAGAGGATCAAGAAACTTTCTTCAAAGACTACGCAGAAGCTCATGCCAAGCTTAGTGAGCTAGGTGCTAAATTCGATCCACCCGAGGTAAATGATCTAGGTTTTGAAAGACATTACAATACTCTCACTGCAGGGCATTACGCTTGAGGCTGCTCCTCAAAAGTTCGTTGCTGCCGAATACTCAACTCCGAAGGTGCCTTTTCTTACTTGGCTGTATGCACTGACCATCATCTGTTGTTTGCAGAAAGAGCTCTCTGATTCCATGAAGCAGAAAATCCGTGCTGAATACCTTGGGCTTGGTGGAAGTCCAGACCAGCCTTTGAAGACGAACTACTTTCTGAACATTATAGTCATCATTGCGGTTCTTGCTATTCTGACGTGGCTATTCGGTGGGTTTTAGTAAGTACGCAGTATGGAGGCATTCCCGTTCGGTCAGTTTTTATTTCTAGCTTCAATAAAACTCTCACTAAAGTTCCAGAGCTCTTTTGCAAGTGCCATGTCGTTTGCAAGTGGACTGCAGGTAGCTTCGTTGCAATCCTCGAAATATCGCCCTGAGATTCCGTTAACCCTGGAATGAGTTGCAACATAGCAAGTCGTAGCTGCTCCCTGTGATCACGAAAAGAACGATATGAGCAGACTGGGAAAAGAAGATTTCGGTCATACTTGGGGTACTGGCCTCATAAGTAAGGAGCAGATAGATATATACGACTCTGAACAGCAGTCTGGTTTGATTAGTTTCTCTTGTGGTGCTAATTCAAGGAAGCTTACGTATTGCAGGCCGAAGATTGCGAAAGATTTGGGTGTGGACTACGCCGGGATGTAGTGCGTTTGCGGTAATGTTGGCTCTTCTTTCCTAAGCAATCTTGATAAGAAACGTAGTGAGGGGCATATAGTGCGTTTATTACCTTGAGCTGCCTTGAGAGTTCTTTTACGTGTAGAATGTTTGCGAGCTTTGAACCAGCATAAAGAGTTGGGTGCCAATTTGACATCCTGGTAAACCAACAAGATCAAGACATTTGGTCGGCTTCTGATGCTTTTACCTGTTTTCAGTGTTTAGTTTTTGAAAGTCTGTGCTGTCTGTTAAAATGGCATGTGCGTTTGAAGAAATATTCACAATTCTTCCTTCAATCCCGGTCTCTTCAGATGTCCGGATCATCGTGTCCAGGAGCAGCTTTGTCAGCAGGAAATGGCCTGGGTGAATGCGTGCTAGTTAGTTTTTTTGATACGTTTGTATTCTATCTGACCGAGATGGTTTATTGCGAACTGTAACTCCATCTTTTCTTCAGATAGCTGCAGGCCTCGGCAGATTACCCCGGCATTGTTTCTTCACAGTGCAAGCATGTCACAACAAGAAGAGAAGGTGTACGATGAAAGCTTACATGAGAATATTTAGTGGAGCGTTCAGAGATTTGAACTCGTCGACAAAGGTGCGTATAGAAGCGAACGAGCCGAGATCCAGCTCTCCGGTGCTTACTTTCGCATCCGGAAGTTCACTGATAATTGCTGACTTTGCTTGTTCGGCAGCCTTCAAAGTTCTCGCCGGAATAACGACGTGAGCTCCTCGCATCGCCAGCACTCTCGCCGTTTCCAAGCCAATTCCAGATGTAGCACCTCAAGGGAAGGCAAGCATCCATTAAACGTTTTCATATTTCGTGCTGCATTCTAACCTGTGACGATGGCAGTGCGGCTGGACAGATCAATGCCCTCGGTCACGTCTTGTGCTGTTGAGCGAGATCCAAATCCACTCTCTCCTTTGGTACCCCACAAGTATGCCCAATCCACGGGAGGCATAGCAAGACGATGGGCCTCACTCGAAGGGAAGGCTCACTTTTAAAGCTCTCATGGTTTCTCACTTGGCCGCGTCTTAATCTTGCACAGAGGGGAGCTCTGGAAGAAACAGACACAAAAACATTAGCTGGACCTGTCACGGGGTTCCCTGGTTGGGTCACGAGATTGTCTCTTTGGGTACGTGCCGTGCTATCTTAATGTTGTGCGCAGCCTTCTCTGGCTCATCTATTAGGTGTTCTTGACGCAGAGATAGCAGGGTCGGCAAACTATGGAAAACGATCATACTATGGAAAAGGTATTCTTATAAAGTCTAAAAGGCTAGGCTTCCTTTTCCCACGTGTATAAAGCGTGCGAGACTTAACCCTGTGAATTAGCTATGGATGCGAGGACGGCTTTTAAGGACGCTCTTACAAAGGACGCGTTGGATTTCCCTGGGAAGCTCGAGGAGGTCGACTATTTGGACGTGTGGTTTTACTACCCGTCCTGGGATGAAGTGTTGCAGTACACGGCCCCCCGCGACATGATAGTGGTGAGGGCGCACTACGCGCAGGGGTTCTTCAAGCTGGTGATACGGGCGCCGTATGGAATGGGCATGGTTGCGACGCTGATCAAAGCCAAGATCAGGGAAGCGGCGGTGGTCGAAAAGACGTGTTACGTGCACGAGAAAGTGGACGAGGTCCCTAGCTTCGCTCTGTTTGCCAACAAGTATAAAGCTCAGGGCTATGAAAAGGTGACCCAAATCTGGGGCACTCAGGAGAAGGTGACGAAAATCAGGGACGACGACACACACGAGGATGATTATGTGTTGATCGATGATTTTGTGTTTTAGTATAAGTCCAGAAATCAAACTACGAGTTGGTGCAGTTGGACCAAGGGATACGCACTAGAGGCAATTAACAAGTGGGTAGATCAATGTTGTAGATCACGGCATTGGCGATGTATGTCACAGAAGGCCCTAGTAAGAGGAGTACTGCACCCCTAGAGCACTGAGAAGCCAAAGCGAACCCTGATGGCATTTGCAACAGAAATGGAAGCAGCAGAAATTGAATTTTGGAGGATATGACTTTGAAGCAAAGAATGGAAACCAACGAAGAATAGAAATCATAATATTGAGAAGTTCTCTGACAGTATTAAAACGTAAACAAGAAAATTTATTTATTGATTTAAATCAAATTATTAATTATAAATGATCAACCCTCATAGAATATTTTATAACCAAATAATTGTGTTTGAATGGGTCATGCATTTGGTAGTTCTTAACATATCAAAGATAAATAAGTGTAAAGCTAGTAGAAATGATTCAAATACATAGTTCGAATACACTGATTCCATAAATATATGAAAGTTCCAGACTTTTGAATGTTTTTTTTTTACAAAATAAGATTAACAAGTAGCAGCCGTCAATAGAACTGCAACCGAAGCTTTTACATAACAATAAAGACATAAACATGTTTTTGTGTGAGTAACAAAGACTGGCTTGAAATGGCATCACGTTTTTATTTTAATCATGCGGTATTCAGATCTCTAGCTCTAACCATGCTTTGAGCAGTGGTCGATACAAAGCATTCAACACTGAGGAGTTCAAGTTGCTCCGGAATCTTCTGCGGATCTTAATAACATCAGAACCATTGGCTGCATTTCCCCATGGCAATGGTACATGGAGACAGTCAAGTGCCACATACACCAGGCTTTCTAAATCGGAATGGATTCTTGGAGTTTGACTTCCAGAGAAAAAGCAAGAACCTGCATAAAGAACAATCAGTTACCAAACTCCAGAAAAAAAGTTAAGTACCTGAATAAAGCCAATCAGGTATATTTGTGGGATGATCAATATCGGGAAGCCGGCTTGCCAATCCCCAGTCAATAAGTCGGTAACGTCCCTTTTCGTCTCGGCAGATGTTGCGGGGTGCAACATCATTGTGCAAAATCCCATGCTCACCATACACATGAGAAAGTACCATATAAATGGCCTTTGTCATATTGAAAACGTCCTCAGGCGTCATCGTGTCTGTGTTGATTTTCTGTCCCGCATCTTCCAAGAGTAACGCAGGAACCCCTCTCCAGACTACTGCCCTCGCCTTCACAGAGTCCTCTGGACACAGATACTGACGAATTAAAAGCTCTCGCTGAACCTGCTTGTACTGGTCACCTACTGTTGCCGCTTTAATCCAGGCTTTCAATCCCGATCCATGGATTGTCACGGGGAATAGATACCGGTGCTCTATCTCAGCTGCCTCAGCCTTAACCGGTTTAACTAGCTGTTCTTCATCAACACTTACTTCCATTCTCTCTGCTCTCAACCCGGCAGCACCACTAACATCACCTTGAAGCAGAGTCTGTGGCAGGAACCCGGCTTTAATCAGAGCAATAACTAGCTCTTTGAGGATTTGATCGACCCCCCTTGAATCCATATCTAAACTCCTGGCCTCTCCTATCTTTATGTCGCTACTCTCCATGACTTTCAGTATCCGGCTGGCGCTGAAATGATCTTCGGATTTGGTGGAGTCAGTCCGGTGGACGATTGTAACATGCATGCCGTTGACAAACCCGCTCTGAACCTGCTGAAACTGCCTTTCCACGTGAACTTCGCCAATTTGGCCTCGAGCCTTTTGTAGAGGCTCACTCTGATTATTGTTGCTGAGAACAATAGGCTGATTTTTCTTGCTTATGCTTTTGTTCTCCTCACTTTCGTCGCTTTTCTGGTCAGACGACGACACCCTGTTTTTCTTCGCCCTCGTCTCCTCCTGAATGTCATCACCCTGCCGCTTCAGATTCTTCATCTCTATTAGGAACCTGCACCTCAAACTCGACCTTTCGACTTCAACCTCTAGCTTCCCGTTTGATGTGTGAACTGGGGCCAGAACCTTCACCGAAATTGTAGGCAGACCTTTGTCTTTGTCAAGGACCCGAAAGATACTTTCCAACAGCGCTGCAAAACAAACGCCATAGGCAGCGTAGTGTTTGACTCTGACCTCTGCGTAAGTCTCATCACAGGCATACATGCTCTTCCCTGCATTCAAGGACAAGGATTTGTAACAAAGAAGAAAGAAGAAACGAAAACAGTACCAAGCTGATCAGGCTCCGTAGCTTCCAGATATGAAACTTGTAAATGTTCAAAGCCTCTTCCCTTATAGTCTGCATAAACATCTCTTTTGATTTGGTCCCAGCTTTTTTGGATTCCCTCTTGGTTGAGTTTGTCGAGCACATATCTACTTCCAAATGTGGTTTGGCTCCTATGAAATTCTAATGCAAGTGTGGAAACAAAGTTTTAAACAAAACAAATAATAAACAAATAAACATACCGAGTGGCTTGGGCAGAAACGATCTCCACCGTATTGCATGTAAATCAATATTGCCACGCAGGAGTTGATGCAAAGGATTCCACTTATCCAGTACAAGCTTGTGGAAGTCAGCAGCTTCACTGTCAGAGAACTTCTCCATGTCAGAAATGGTATGAGCATTTTTTATGACTGTTACTAATATCCTCCTCTCCTCTTCTTCTTTTTCCATTCTTTTCTTAAACTCCAACTCCGCTTTCTTCAACTCGAATTGCCCTTTCTTTAACTCCAATAACTCTTTCTCAAACTCCAATTTCCGTCTCTGAAACTCTTTCTGAAACTCGAACTCCCCCTTCTGAAACTCTTTCTGAAACTCTTTCTGAAACTCCAATTTCCCTTTCCATTTCTGCTGCTTCCACCATGTAGCTGCAATTGCCATCAGGGTTGGCTTTGGCTTCTCAGTGCGGTACTCCTGTGGCTGGAGCTTACCAGGGCCTTCTGTGAGATACATTATCAACGCCGTGATCTTCTTCTCATCTACAACATAGCCCTGATTTACCCACTTGTCAACTGCCTCTAATGCGTCATCCATTCTCAAGAGCTTATCGCCGCTCATTGCCTTCCCTAAGCGGGGTTTAGGGTTAAAGTGGCTATTGTTTAATTGCGGATTTAAAACTTTTGAGTAGCAGCTAGCGGTCGCAGTGAACAATGGCAATTGTGAGGACGATAGTGTGTTTCTAAATACGATCTTAAGGCTCAGAAGAGCAGGTTTTGCAAGCCGTTTTCCTGTGAATCCAAGGGATGGGGGAATTCTTCCCGTGAGATTGTTTGCTCTAACCTCAATCACTTGTGCGGGGATTCTGGAGATAATTTCCCATGAAGAGTGTTATTGCTCAATTGAAGGACCAATATTTCATCTGCAGGGGATGAAATGTTGACATGATAGTGGTACATGCACGGGTTCTTCAAGCTGGTGATCCCAGCACCCATGGTCCTGAAGCTGATCAAAGCCAAGATCAGGGAAGTGGTGGTGGTGGAAAGACGTGTTATGTGAGAAAGTTCGCTAGCTTCTCTCTGTTTGCCAATCAAGTAGAAATCACAGGAGACCCAAATCTGGGACACTAGGAGCGGGTAGCAAAACCACAAATTCAATGCATCCTTTGTCCTCACATCCATAGCTAATTCACAAGCTGTTAAGTCTAAACATTGAAAAGGAAAGTTTGCATTTTATTCCGTTGCAAAAGCCCAACTCTTCTAAAAAAAACCACCTATGAAAATACGTCATTTCATTTCATAAACTGTTTATACAAAATCTCACAGCTCCCTCTACTAAACATGAGACCACTGGGTTTAGAGTATGACTCGTTAGTAGATTTAAGTCACCTTAATTGTTCCAGCCTACCACCACAAAATCATTGATGAATCCTCGTAAAAACTTTAACACATTTGAGGCAATATTACCTTTAAAAACACTTTCTTCTCCAACTTGTGAGCAGTATCATCACTTTTTTATAGTCCTGGTACTGTGCTAGAATCACACACTTGCATGCAGCCAACACAATAAATAAACATATCAAGGTTTTCTTTCGCTTTTCAAAATAATAAAGTGTTTCTTTTGGCAGATCACTAGAGCTTCCATATTTTCAACCTACATTATCATATGATGCGTCTTTGCTAATATTTTTCATACTTTTAGCTAAGTATTTGTTCACATATATGTGATGGTTGTTTTACAAGGTGACCACATATTGTTTTGCATGAAGATGCTTTTGGAAAGCTGCATTCCTTAATTTCCTTCAACCGATTCTTACTTTCCAACTTTCATATCATGCCTAGACTTCAAAAGTCACTACTGCCAGCATATTTAGATCAAGAAAGAGGAACAAAGATAGTGTCAAGAGTATCAATGATGGAGAACCAAATGATTGCAAAGTTAAAGTACTAAATTTCTATTATATATTGTCACCTTCTGCCAAGGAGCACTCATCCTTGACTCTTCCAGGCTAGTGGTTTTCTCAAGAACTTGTCAGCTTGCTTGCAGTAGTGATCAAGTAAATGGCAAGGCATTTGTTTATTTTTGAGTTCCAGCCATGGACTCCATGCATGTATAGCATGCAACTTGCCATGTTTGAGACTTACATCTATGTATGTGATTTTGACCATCCTTGGCTGAAGTATAAAAAGGCGCCATAAAGAGTGGACACTAAAGATCTTGGATTTGTCCAGGACAAATGTGGCCAAATGGAGGTCACCAAATGTATACTAGCATAGTATATATATTTCTAGGCTTTGTCATAGTTAAAGCAAAGTGGAGTGGACTGACCTTATAGAGATTATTTTAAGTATCAAGCACAATTTCCTCACAAAGTGAGTAAAGAGGGGGATAAATGGCATAGTGCAATTGCAGAGTACATTATTTGTGTTAGATGTTCTTTTGTTTTTGATTACTTTGTGCGTATCATATTAATAAGGACAAAATATAAACATTGTTGAATATCTTATATTTTATTGATATTTTAGTAGTATTTAAGTCAGGTATTTTACTCTATCTATTGTATTACTTCTTCTTTTCATTTACATTCTTATTAGTATATATGGCAAGAAAAAATCTTTAATCTACCATTTTAATTTCATTCTTTGCATCAGCTTTAATGAGTGCACCATTAAAAACATGTGAAGAATCATGTAATTCACATGATGAATGTAAAGGTAAGATTGCATGTTTTGATGAAATTTGCAAGAATGATCCCAATATGGACACTAATCTTTGTCCAAGTACTAGGAAAATTCTATCACTTTCATCAGATCTTTTATCTCCTCCTGATGAAGACTTACCTCCTTCTAATGAGCTTTTATCTCTTCCTAGTTCTAATAAATTCATTAGTTATCTTTAAAATAAAATAAATAAATAAATTTTCATTTCTTTTGTTGGTTTAGTTTGGCTCCACACTCTATTATTTTATTCTTCTCATTGTTTGGCTTCACAACTTGTTATGTTGCTTCATTACCATCCTAATTAGTGTTGGTGTTACACCATATATATACTTGAATTGTACCTTACTTTATTTTTACGTTTTTGGAGTTAGTTTTGGCATTAGAATTTTAGGATACTCTTGAAGCGTATACACTTTAGCAAAGTTTTTAGCCTCTCAACCACCCCTGAGTTGATCTACTTATTATGTTATTACTATAGTACAAAACTTTATCTACTCTTGAGAAAGACTTATTATTATATTCTCTATTTACCTTAGAAAATCTATAATATTTTTAATTATTCAGTATTAATAATAATTATGGTTTTAAGTTTTCATTTAGTGAATTTAACTATGATGTGAGACATCTTCTCAAGATTTATTCTTGTTATATTAAGTTTACAAAGCAAGTTGAGTAAGCTATTAAGGTGGGGAGGAAGATGTCTCTCCCATGCCACACCTCCCAAGTTAGATAGGTCTTTATCATGCCAATCAAGTGCTATTGTTAATGAGAAGACAATATTAACTAAACTAAGTGAGCCTAAAGATCTTATCTCATGTTTTATTGATATTTTAAGTCAATTACCTTGCTCTATATAATATGTTCCTTCTTCTTTTCATTTGTATCCTTATTTGTATTCATGGCAAGAAAACATTTTTAGTCTACCAGGATTAGAAATATCAAGTGTCATATGAAACATTTATTTGCTTTCATTCATAAATAGGATCACTGATAGTATGAATTGCAATTATCATTTGATGTATCAATAATGCATGCAACCTTGCTTTAGAAGTAGACGTAAAAAGACAATGACATACTAAGAAGAACACTTTACTTTAAATTAATCTTACACTTCATAAATATAATAATTATCTTACTATTAATGATCATTATAATGTAGCATAGATCTTACCTAACTGAGAGGAGATGCTCTTTGACTTTGCTAGACCCAGCTTAGCAAATAAAATAGAATAGACTTTGGCTATCCTTTATTAAATATATTACAATATAATGTATATAATATGTTACTTTTTGTAACATGTTCTTTAGTAAGTGTTCATTAAATGGAACCAAAAGTAGTCTAAAAATATAATATTAAAATATTTTATATTTTTATGAAATATAATTTAGGTAATATTAAAAATTTTAAAATAATTTTAACATAAAAAATTATAGGAATATAAAAATGGAATATGCATATTCAATTAGCCCCAAAACTCTAGCTTATATATAGGAGCAAGTTTCTAAATTAAAACCAATCTAATAGCTATTAAATTCCTATTACACTAATATTAATATACAATATAATAATTATGCACTTACCTCATATCATCCCCTTTTTCTGGAAGGATGAAAGGCAATTAAGATTCTCTGGATGATAAATTAGGATCTAGAAGAACATTAAGAGGAGGTACTGATTGATTTGTAGATGGTGCTTATTTGTAGTGCACCTTATCTCTTTCCCTTTAAGCCAACTGGAAAATGGGCAATTCCTTAATGAAAGAGCCCTTAGTTAAATATATCAATGTCCTCATAACCAACATCTCCATTTCCGGACTCAATCTACTAATCCTTCCATTGTATAGATTAGCTATTCCATGTGAGGCAACTAGTTATCCACCCGCACCGTAGTCCCACGGTGGATACCTTCATCTATGGATACTTCACACAAGAGGAAGGACCGCAGTCCCACGGTGAATACTGTAAAGAACCAACTCGCCGAGGTGTCGTAGGCTAAAGGAACCCCAAAAGCATGACCAAAATGACAAAGAGTTCATCGGATGGGACCAAGTCGAAGATCGAGTCCAAGACCGACTTTAGGACCGAGTTCGAGATAGAGTCCGGAATCGAGTCCGAGACTGACTCGGGGACCGAGTTCAAGTCCGAGTTCGAGACCGAGTTCGAGACGGAGTCCAAGATCCGAAATCGGGTCCGAGACCGAGTCCGAGGTCAAGTCCGAGGTCGGGTCCGAGATCGGGTCCGAGATCGAGTCCGAGACTGAATCCGAAGTCGGATCCGAAATCGGGTCCGAGATCGAGCCAGAGACTAAGTCCAAATACTAAAATACTAATACGGGTCAAGGGGTGAAATCCCAAAGCGTGCGTCTCCCGGGGGGGGGGGCTGCAGGGGGGTTCCAAAAGTATAGTAGGGATAGTGAGGCCCAGAAACCAGTCTTGAAGGAACTCTCCAATGGTGCTTCCAAACTGACTTGAGGTTGAGACTGGGATCGAGGGGCCTTGGGTGGGAGTGAGCATGGGCTTGAGTTATGCCGGAGGGGCCACCCAGGGAAGTGCTCAAGAGCAGCTCCCACTCCCGAAAGGGAAACCGACTGCAGTGCTCCTGGCTCATGTGGAGTGGTGCCCCACTTGAGTACCTTGTGGCTCATTGGTCCTCGCCCTCCCTAGGGGCTTGGGCCTTCCCTTCGGGATGGAAGTGGGGGGGTAGAGGTACTTATATCGGGCCGTTAGGCCACGGTGTTTCGCCCCAACGTCCCGAAGCAAGTGCTGCACCCAAGACTTGGGATTTAGAGGGTCCCATGATCAAGTCTTGTGATACCAAGGGGTGTTAGGAATCTGGAGGCTTGGTGTGCTTGGCTGCTTGTGCCTGCGGGGAGTGTAGCCGAACCTTAAGTCCAGTCTAACCCAGGGAGGGGGATTGGGAGAGATTTGGGAATCCGTAGATGGATGGCTAACACTCTGTTGCTCGTGCAGTGAGTAGCTGAAACCAAGTAGGACCAAGTAGGAGCTGGTACCATAGGCGGGAACCTTGGCGAGGGAATTTAGCACAAGCCAAGGCAGAGTTGGTCGGATAGACGAGGTAAGCTGGCAAATTGGAAAGGAAAAATTTGTGGCTTACAATTTGGTATCGGAGCGGTCTCGGGTCCGACTCTGCTGGTTGGCTAAGGGAATCACACCACATATTGATTGACATCTGGCTGGTCCAGTTTGCTCCCGCTGGGCTCGACTCGAGGGGTAGGGTGTCAAGAGAGCGGGGCTCTCGGGAGAGCTGCGGCTCTCAGCTTCCGTTCACGAGGGCGTGAACTTGCAGGGAAGCGTGGTGGATTGTAAGCAACCAAAGGGAACGACTTGAGAGACGATCCATAGGGTTCAAATATAGAGGGAAAGGGCCCATGAACAAGAGTGCACCCCCTTTTCCAATCGGTTAAGGGTTTTGGGATAGTTGGAGTTAAGCATCCTTGAGTT